GGGGGGGGGGAGGAAGGGGTGTCTAGGCAGGCTCCTTAATGGCTTAGCCCAAGGTCCAGCTCTGCTCGACATGTCGTACTTGTCCTATTTCTCTCTGGTATGATTAACGCTGTCAAAATTCGACACGACACGATTAACTGAAATGAATTAAACGGGGTTTGAGTGATAAACGAGTTGACACCCCAAACACGTTTAATAAACGGGTTGTGTTTGGGTGAGACATGTCAAACTGTTTATCACACGTTTACCCGTTTAAATATTATTAATATAATAATAAATTAATAATTTAAAAAAATTAGCAAGAAAAAAAGAAGTAAAGAAATCAATAAGAAAAAATAATAAAATAGTAGTTCAAAGACAAAAAAGAGGAGATGTGGAGCACTTCAAAGACAAAGACAAACCAATGTCTTTTGTTTTTGTCCCATATTGAAAAATGAGAGGAGATGGGGAGGGTTGAGTTGCCTATAAAAACAATGACCTCTTTCTTTTCTTTTTAAGCCTTCAAGTCTTATTTTTGTGAGATATGAGATTTGGTTAAAAATTTCTCTTTTTTGAGGTAAGTGCAATTGACAATAAAAAAAAGTGGAGTATTAAAATTTTTTAAAATTAAATGGGTTAAACGAGTTGTGTCGTGTTACCCGTCTATTAAACGAGTCGTGTTCGTGTTGAGATTTTTCACCCGTTTACTAAATATCTTGTGTACGAATTTATACATTTTTCACCTGTCACCTGTTTAACCCGACACGTTTGACACCTTAGGTATTACCTAGTTTCTTTTTTTTTTCTTCCCTACAACTTCATAGCCATGGTGATTAAAAGAATTAGATATACCAGATCACGTTATTGAAGTCAGATTCGTGATTGAAGGACTCAAAAAATAGAAGTTATGGGTGTAAAAAATATTCTAGGAAATGACTTGTAAAATTCGAACAAATTTATAAATTAGAAATTCAAAAATTCTTATACTTGAATATATAGATAGGCTAAAAAATTTCCAAATATCCATAAAATTTTGAGCATAATCTCATTTATAATAAGGTTAATTATAAGTTGTACCCCGAAAGATAGTTCGAATATCAATTTATACCCTTAAAGATCAAAAATCTCAATTTACACCCTCAAAAAAAAAAATTTATATCAATGCGCACTCCAAAAGATAAAAAATCTCAATTTGTACCTTCAAAGATAGAAATTTGTATCAATGTGCACCTAAAACTAAATTGATAAAATTATACTTAGATCCCCTCATGTATGTCACTTAATCATTTGAACCTCTTCACATTTAGAATATTACTTATACATCTCATGACGTTTGTGCATGTGTAACACGTAATCCCTTTTCGTTGATATATGTTAATATAACCGTTAAAAAATATGATTTTATCTTATTTGAATGTCTAATAGATTCGATATATTTTAAAGTTCAAAATCAAGCTTACCATTTGAATGTCTAATAGAATGTAGATATTTATATAAAGGGTAATATGAAAAGTATTATATAAATATCTACATTCTATTAGACATTCAAATGTTAAGATTGATTTTGAACTTTAGAGTATATTGGACCCATAAAATAAAGGGTAATATGAAATTATAATTTTTTATTAAGACACAATCATATTTTTTAACGGTTATATTAATAAATATAAATGAAAATGGGTTACGTGTTACACGTGCACAAATATTATGAAATGTACAAATAATATTCTAAATATGAAGAGATCCAAATGATTAAATGACAAACATGAGGGAATCTAAGTATAATTTATCAATTTAGCTTTAGGTGCACATTGATATAAATTTTTATTTTTGAGGATGTAAATTGAGATTTTTTATCTTTAAAGGTACACATTGATATAAATTTTATATTTGAGGGTGTAAATTGAGATTTTTTATCTTTGAGAATACATATTGATACAAAATTTTATTTTTGAGGGTATAAATTAAAATTTTTAATTTTTAAAGATATAAATTACGATTCAAATGATCTTTCGTGATGCAAAATGAGGTTAATCCTTTATAATAAGTAAGTGTCAATGACTTAAAATTATAAATCAATTTTAAATGCTCAATTGAGTTGTGACGGGATTTAATCCTCTCTTTCAGCACTTGTTCTGTTTTTGCCTCTCCCCTTCTCATCCCAGCGAAAAACCACCGCCAAAGACCTCAGTCCAGCAATTGCCATTGCCATTGCCTCCTCCGTCTCGCTCTAACTGTGCTTCTCTCATTCCTATCCTCTTTTCTACCTTTTCTCCAGCCACCCACCGCCAATAGTCGCCACCACAGATCCAGTGAGCAGCGACGACAGTCAGGTCTCTCACTCCCCCTCTCTTTGCTCCTTTCCTCTTCTCTCTCTCTATCCACTGCCGCTTCTGCTCACTGCCTTTGCCCAGCGAAACACCACCGGCAGCGCTCCTCCTCACCAGCGACCACCAGTTGCCAGCGACCCTGAGGTATTTCTCTTTCTTCCTGTTGTACGCTCCCTCCCCCTTTCTCTCTCGCACTAGCCTCCACCCTAGCCACCATCCAGTGCCCCACACCCACCTCGACCACCACGTGCTCGACGAAATTTCTCAAAGAGTTTTGCACTCCCACTCCTCTCTCTGTACACGCATACAGACCCCACTTCTGAGGACCACCGTGCCACCACCACTTGGGTGTGAGAGAGTTTGGCTGTGGTTACCGCCAAATTGCATTATCCATAATCTGAACCCCAAATTTTGAATGCTCTATAGTTTAATTTGACGTGGTTTTAGTTTTCTCTTCAGGTTGAGTTAGTATAAATTTTGTTGGGAATGGAAAGATTATGTCAAAAAGTGAAAAGGATTTGAATTTTGTTTCATTTTTTTAATTTTTTTAATTGTTTTGTGCTGGGTTGGGGTTGGGGAAAATGCACTACTTCTATTGATTGTGTCAGATTCAATAGTAGAAAGTAAATATTGAAGTGCAATTGCTAAAGATTGTTTAAGGGGTTCGTGATAAAAGGGCAGTGGAGGCATGCATTAGCGTTTTGGAGTGTGTGTACAGATCTAAGGAAGATAGATATTATAAGAGCGGGCAAACTTGTTGTCTTGACTTTTGAGTGGTGCTAATTTTTGAGTGAAGAATTGGAATTTGAGAGAACTGATACTTGTCTTCGTTTATCTAAATACTAATGATATCTACCGTCAAATTCTGAAGAGAATCATATAGGAGGCATTATTTCTGCCAGTCAAAATGGTTTTCATGCAGGCCCTTCACTAAGTTGCTCAAAAGGTGTTGTGGAGGAACTAGGATTTCATGGTTCTGCCATTGAAAATAATTTTCATGCAAGCCCTTCACTAAGTTGCTCAAAACTTTCTTGTAGTATTGGATATGCGATCAACATACTATTTTTCTTTGTTAAGCGACACTTTCATCGGTTTTATATGATTACGTGATACATTATGTCAATCTTGTAGCCCAGTGCATTCTATTTATCTCTCAAAAAATGGACTCTAATTAGTGGTGTGAAAATAACTATTTCTGTACCAACGTCTAATTTCGAGAGAAAGGGCTTTCCTCTCTTCTTTTTTTTTCTTTTCTTTTTTTAAACAGGTCTTTTGTTGTCAATGAAACATGGCACTAGCGGCATTGAGAAGTCGAGGTAGGGTTTCTAAGCTTATTTGTTCGAATATTTTGAATTCTGTCCCTTATTTATATCAATTGGTCTTGAGAAGTCGTCTGGCAATGCCTCTTTCGATGAGAGTACACTCATTTAGCTCCATGGATGGTGGTCCTATTCCATTACCATCAGAGCGAAGAACTACCGAGCACACGATGAAAGAAGGTGATGGACGATTATATGACATTGGCCCCACCCAGGTTCCTCCAGAGCCCATACCTAATTGGCCCTTGAGGGGCGAACGTCTTTCGCCTAGAAAGTTCCAACTTAGCGATCACAATGAGCATGGCGGGGTATACAAATACGGATGCGAGAAGTCTTTAACTGCCGCCAATACCCCCCACCTGAAGAATTTGAAGAACTATAACAATAGACCTTCTAGGATAGTAGGAACNCAATGAGCATGGCGGGGGATACAAATACGGATGCGAGAAGTCTTTAACTGCCGCCAATACCCCCCACCTGAAGAATTCAAAGAACTATAACAATAGACCTTCTAGGATAGTAGGAACTGGGCACAAAGCTGGTCGGCCTTCCAGTAGTAACCTTTTCCCATTGGACAAATTTAGTGAGGAAAAAACGAATGGTAATAAATCTTCTTTAGCTAAATCCTTTTTTGGAGAGAAGCACAGGGCGATGATGATTTTCTTGAAAAATTCAAGCTTAGATTTGATAAAGGGGAAAATTTCCTTCCAAATTCAACAACCCCTCAACTCTGCCGAGAAGCAGAGGAGGCAAAGTGGGACCACCAAGCAACACCTGAGCCACCTTTACCACCACCACCACTACAGGATGCAGATGAGATCTTTAAGAAGATGAAAGAAACTGGTCTCATTCCCAATGCCGTGGCAATGCTTGATGGCCTCTGCAAGGATGGGCTGGTCCAAGAAGCCATGAAACTTTTTGGTTTGATGCGTGAGAAGCGTACTATCCCCGAAGTTGTGATATACATGGCTGCGGTGGAAGGCTTTTGCAAGGCCCAGAAACTTGACGATGCCAAGAGCATTTTCAAGAAAATGCAAAACAATGGAATCAATCCTAATGCATTCAGTTACACAGTCTTGATCCAGGGGCTCTATAAAGGCAATCGGTTGCAGGAGGCCCTTGACTTTTGTGTGGAGATGCTGGAGGCCGATCACTCTCCGAACTTGGCTACTTTCACGGGTTTGGTTGATGGTTTTTGTAGGGAGAAAGGTGTTGAAGAAGCCCAAAGCACAATCACAGCATTGAGGCAGAAAGGTATTTTTTTTGACCAGAAAAATGTTACAGAGTTTTTGGACAAGAAAGGACCGTTCTTGCCATTGGTTTGGGAGGCAATCTTGGGAAAGAAAAGCTCACAGAGAACTTTGTGAATGAGTCTTAGTTTTGTAAGGTCTTATCCCTATCTCTAATTTGTTTTCTTGGCCTTCTTTACAACATTCCTGTTTTGTAAAATTTGGAAGAGACAAATGAACATTTAGCTTTGTTTCTCTATTTTTTTTTTTTGGAATGCAACTTTGTTTCTCTATTGAGTATAATTATTTTTGTTGCAAGAGTGATACAGATGTTTCAATGGGCATTGACTTATATGTCCTGATGTTGTTTTGTTTATGACCAACCTTGTTGCAACATTTGTTTGAATGATATTTTTGAAGACATACAATTTCATGATTTTTCATTGCATTGTTCCTGAAAATAAACTCGAATGACATTGTTTGAGGTTAAGTCGCCTCTACAACGAGGCTGAATAAAAGAGTAATAGAGCTCCAGTACAAAGGAGATTTTGCCCAAATCTTTTTTTGTTATGGGTAAACATAGTTTAGGGTTTAGAGTTTTACATCAGCTGGACTCATTATAATTTTAAAGACAGCATGCTTAGGTTATTTTTTCTTTTTTATTATTCATTTATTGCACTAAGCATGCATTTTGCTTTCTTTTATTTCTTTAATTTATTTAATGTAAATAAATAAAATTCTAGGTGTAATAAAATTCTCTCGTACCGTCGAGGTTTGCAAAAAAAAAAATAATAATAATTTAGGGTTAGGGGTTCAAGGTTTCCAACTATCGAAGTGTTAAAAAAAAAACTTGGTGTGTTTGATTAGTTGGGGTAAACTTGTTTTTATCTCCTTTTTTTTTCTGGATATTTACTTGGTAGATGTGTTACACTTTAAAAAAAAAAATTTAGGATTTGGGGTTTAGGGTTTGGTGTAATAACTGTGATGGGAATGTTAGAATTTGGCAGTGGATTGATAGGGCCCTTCTGAATGCCGTCTGGGATGAGAGTTTGGGTAAAACAGAAGTCCTGCATCTGGCTAGGGGGAGATCTGATCATTCTCCTTTATTAGTCAGAGTGTTTAATGATCAACAACATCGAATTTCCTACTTCAAGTTTCAAAATATGTGGCTAGAGCATGAGGGTTTTCTATCCTTGGTGGCTTCAAAGTGGAGGGGTTCTTTTCTGAGAATCCTATCCAGAATTTATTTATAAGATTGAAAAATGTCAAGTATCATCTGAATTCTTGGAATACTGAGGTGTTTGGGAATATCTTTGAGAGGATTAAATCAAAGGAGGTGGAGTTGTCTACTGCTGAGATGGATGTGGAACAAAATGCTTCATTTGGGAATCTTAAGAAAGTTGAAAAAATCCAGGGGGAGTTGGATTTAATTTTGAGATTAGAAGAGATTTACTGGAGGCAGAAAGCTAATTTGAAATGGGCTATGGAATGGCAGAGGAACGCACGTTTTTATCATGCCTTAGCTAAAAGCAAATTTTTGAGAAATAGGGTTTGTAGAATTCAAAATACAGCTGGGGTGTGGGTGAAGTCTGAAGAGGATATTGGTTGGTTGGCGGAGGAGTTTTACTCTTCTCTTTATAAATCTGAATCTTGTCAAATTGAAGAGGATCTACTCTCTGTTATTCCTAAACGGTTATTGATATCCAGAATGCTGACCTTGTTAGGTTGGCTTCTTTGGAGGAAGTGAGACGTGGTATTTTGTATGTCTTAGTGTAGTGCCCCTGGAGTAGATGGTATGTCTGGTGGTTTTTTTCAAGGGGCCTGGGATATTGTGGGTAATGATTTGCTGGAAGTAGTTAATTTTTTCTTGAGAGGAGGTTATGTTCCCAGGTCGGTAAATGTTACTTTACTTATCTTAATTCCTAAGAAGACAAATCCTACTTCTTTCTTAGATTTTCGACCCATAAGTCTGTGTAACTTTTTATACAAGATCTTTACTAAATTGTTGACCACTGGACTCTCTGTCCTACTCCCTGGATTGATTTCTTGTGAACATGGTTTTGTTAAGGGGAGAAATGGAGGGGATTGTGTGTCTCTTGCTCAATTGATGGTGGGAGAGCTTAATAGGAGAGTTGAGGCTGGAAATTTGATATTGAAATTAGACATGATGAAGGCCTATGATAGGCTTGAGTGGGATTTTTTATTAAAGGTATTGGACTGTTTTGGATTCTCCCCCTTATTTGTTCAACCGGGGAAAAAAAAAATTTGTTCAACTGGTGGCTAATGTTTGGAGAGGAATTCTTTTCTGTGAATGTGAAAGGAGTGAGAAGGGGTTTTTTTCCTTCCTTCTTCTAGGGGATTAAGGCAAGGGGATCTTTTATCTCCTTGTCTTTTTATCCTAGTTGAGGAGGTGCTAAGTAAGGGACTGAGAAGAATATTTGAGCAGGGTCTGGTCAAGCACTTTCACATTGGAAGAGGTGCTTCTATGTTGAGTCATTTGCTTTTTGCGGATGATACTTTGATCTTTTTTAGGGGGAATAAAAGACCATTGAAGAATTTGATGGAGTTTTTGAAGAGATATGAAATGCGTTCTGGGCAGAGGATCAGTTTGCTGAAGAGCTCTATGATTTGTTCCAAGTTTATTTCATCTGAAAGAAAACATGTTCTTTCTAGTTTAGCTGGTATCCCTATTAAGTCTTGTCCCTTTACTTATCTGGGATGTCCAGTAACTCAAGGGAGGGTTAGACTGCATTATTTTCAAGGGCTTCTTATTCAATTTAGGCAGAGATTAGAAGGGTGGTACACTAGACTCTTGTCTAGCATGGGAAGAGTTTTGATGGTGAGATATATTTTGTGTGCTGTCTATATGCACTTATTGGCTTGTATGAATTTGCCTAAGACTATTATTGCTAAACAGAACTCCCTATTGTTATAAGGGACTTTGCTGTGTTCGTCAAACCTTTTGGCTTTTCTTTATGTTGAGGTTTTTGTTTTGTTAAAGCAGGGCTTGTCTGCTTTTCTCTCATTGTAAAGCTTGGTCTGTGTGGCTGTTTTGATTAGGCAGGGTCTGTCTGCCTTTTCCCTCATTGTAAATACTTTTTGAGAAATGGAATAAAATGTTGGTTTTAAAAAAAAAAAAAAAAACTGAACTCCCTAATGGCCAGTTTTGTGTGGTCATGTAAGCTTAATGTGCGAAGAAGACAATGGGTAGCCTGGGGGAAGATAACTATGCCTAAGAAGGGGGTTTAGGCTTGAGGAAATTTGAAGAGATCCAGTCTGCCTTTCGGATGAAGCAAGTGTGGAGTTTACTTGGAGGATCTTCATTGTGGGTTGAAGTGTTTAAGTCAAAGTTTTGAAAGGGGAAGAGCATATTACGTTGTCTGGGAAAATCTAATTCTCCCAGTTTTGAGTTACTTAGGCCTTACTTTGAGAAGGTCGTAAATTTTTCAAAAATGCTGATTGGAAATGGGCAAGAGACTGATTTCTTTTGTGACAACTGGACAGGTAAAGGGGCTCTTCTTAGTAGACTGGAATGTGTCCCTTTAGTGTTTCCGAAGGTTGCTGATTTTCTGTCTCATGATACTTGGCATTTGTTTGGGGTTGAGGACTGATTGACCGTGCAGTTGACGGATGAGGTTTCTGTCTTCGAGGCGTTGTATGAATTCAAGTTTAGATAAAGTCATTTGGCAACATAATAATTCTGGAGAATTTTCGGTGAAATCTGCCTGGGGCTTGGCTAGGAGTCAGGGATGTGTTAATGATCTTCTGTCATTGATTTGGAAGATTGAAACTGCTCCAAGTGCTCAGATGATTGGGTGGAAATTTTTTTTGAATGATTTATCAATGGATTCTAATATCAAGCGAAATTGTGTCTCAGTTGTGAGTAGGTGTTCCTTGTGTTCNAATGCTCAGATGATTGGATGGAAATTTTTTTTGAATGATTTATCAATGGATTCTAATATCAAGCGAAATTGTGTCTCAGTTGTGAGTAGGTGTTCCTTGTGTTCTCAAGATGGGAATGTGAATCTCATCTTTTTGTGAACTGTCCTTTTGCTGAAGTGGTTTGGTCGAAGTTGGCTGCCATTGGGGGTTTTCAGATTATTCAGGGTGAGACTCCTTTGGGAAGATTTCAAAGACTTTGTAGGATCTTTAAAAACAAATTCTTGAGTCATGGTTGGATTAGGAGTTTTGCTTTGATTACCTATTGGCAGTTGTGGAAAGAGAGGTGCATGCGAGTTGTTGGGGATGGAAAGCTGATCTATTATTCTATTTTCATGATGATCTTTAATTTCGTATTTGTTGTTCGTCACTCCTTGGAGCAGGACAAGCCATCGTACTCGGGGCCGACCCCCCTCTCCTAGGCGCCGCTAAAGATCAACAAGTCATCCTTGTACCCCTTATCCGTGTCGGGAAGGTGGGTAACAAGGTACAAGGACGTGTTCCGAGCTTTGGGATAGAAGTTTTACTAGGGCATCACCCTTAGCAAAGAGTAACAAAAGAGAATATTCTCGAGGCCAAGGTTCACCCCGAGACATCTGTTGAGCTCGGCTACTCCCATGATTATTCTAAAGACATTGAGGCAGCACTGACTGGGGAAAAGGCGAAATCGAGACAAGAATTGGAGAAACAGTGGATGGAGGGGGAATCTAATTTTGCCCTCCATAATTGCCTTGGTATAGAAAGGCATAGCATCGTCGGCGCCGACATTGAAACGATGGCACTCCGAGTCGAAGTCATTCATGCTGACGCTGCAAGGAATGTCGTAAAGGGCTCTAAAATTAGTAATTTGCTGAGCGCCCTTTATGGTCCCCTTCCTTGGCCTAGAGGTCCCAGCCTCCTGGGCCTTGGCGACAGGGCAACTACTCGGCATCTTACACAGATGGAATCCTAAGGGGCACCACCAAACAAAAAATGACGAAAATGGAAGGCAACGGGACTACCCTAAGGGTTTCAGAACTAAGATGAAGGGTTTTGTAAGGTGACCAATCACCGAAAAAATGATAAACAAAAAAAGAGAGAGTGAAGAGAACAAACACTCACTGGAAAAGGAATTGGAACAAAGAACTGAGGACTTGGGGGTTTTTCCTCGTCGAACAATGGCTAGGAAACGACAGAAAGTTCTTCAAGCAAGCAACTGG